TCTACACAGACAACGTTACAGCAGAGATCCTAGGATCCAGATAAAATTCAACTGCTTGTTCCAGCCGAGCAGAAGGGAAATCCTGCAACAATTCTATGAGCGACCAGCTTTAACTCTGTCTCTTCACACAGTTCCTATGCCTTATGTTATTTTACTTTGTTTCTGTGTTATTTTTTACTACTGTTTCTTTTCAGATTCCAATATAGAGTGTCCCTTTAATACACAGCCTAGTCATACCTGTTGGCGAGTGGGGCTTACCACCCCACATATTCCTTACCCCACAGCCCACTAATGACCTGCACTACCTTGTTATTAGCTCCCTGACTAAATGGGTGCCAGAGTCTGATAATTGTAAACCTGCATAACTGCCTTTGACCCTTTCCGGTGTCTACAGAGGCAGCTCACATTCTCTACTCAGCTACATTTCATAGCTATGTCCATAAACCATAACATATGAAAGAGATGCAATTTCCACTACGTTAGATCCTATGTTAATTCTATTTGATCGTTTATCTTTTATACTATTTTGCTTCTATACTTTATATAAAAAGAGGCAGACAACATAAGGAGAATCATGCCCACAGCTCCCTACTATTGCTATGAATCTATCGTTGTATGTTGGACTAATATACTAATATGTCTCCTATTTTATTGTTGTAACCAATTTCTTGCCTCAATAAAACAAAGAATGACCAGAAAAAACATCATCCAAAGATTGAATAAAGTTGAACCATTCATCCTTGTGAGGACAGTGTTTGTCCAGAGTGTTTTCTGTTACGAATACGAGGACATCAAAGAAGATCTCCAGCTGTCTGGAAAATAAGGAAGTAGATGAAAATGTAAAGGTATGCACATTGTATCGAGATTGATAAAGAAAGACAAATATAAAAAAATGACACAACTTTTCTTTTTTGGATAAGCTTTTCAAATGATATATTATTTTGAAAATGTTTCAAAACTTGATATTTTTTTTTCAATTTATTTTTATATATGTTTTGTAACGGCACCCCCAGGCATAAAAGGGTTAAACCGCCGTTTAGTAGATCTTCCCCTTCCAGAGACACAGGCACAGCTACTGTAG